GGGGGGGGGAGAGGGTTGGACTAGATGACCCACAAGGTCCCTTCCAACTCTGATGATCTGTTCTCTGTTCTCTGAGCCATGTTGTCAAGCAAGACATTTGCTAAGTAAATTTCACCCCCCCCCCCCCCCCGTTTTACCACCTTTCCGGCCACCGTTGTTAAGTGAGTCACTGCAGCTGTTTAGTTAACTAGATGGTTATTAAATGAATCCAGCTTCCCCCTTGACTTTCCCCATCAGGTTGCAAATCACGTGCGCCCCCCCACACTGCGACCGTCATAAATACGAGTCGGTGGCCAAGCCTCCTAATCTGGATCCCCTAACCATCAGGAGGCCTAAAATGGCCGCCAGTCGCTTTTTTCCCCAGGGTCGTGGTGGCTTTGAGCGGTCACTAAGCGAGCAGCTGTAACTCTTAAGGATTATCTGTGGGGAATTTAAGGTCCTAAGTCACTTTTTTGGGGGTGCCTGGCTGAAGGAGCCCAGCAGGGCCGAGAGGGCACCTCATGAGGGGCGAAGGACCCCCACTCCCCCTGCCCCGCCTCAGGGGCTGCCCTCAGGCGGCAACCGCCCGCCAAGGGCGCCCAGGGGAAGCTTCGCTGAGGGGAAAAGGCGCCCTCTTCGCCAACACAGCCGGGCTGCCCTTCCCTCTCCCGGGACTCCAAGGGGGAGCGGGCCTCGCCTGGCGCACCTGAGGGGGGAAGACGCGCCCTGGGGGGGGGGGGGGGAGGGAAGGGGAGACCCGCGCAACTCCCCCCCGCTTCGCACCTTGGAGGGAAGGGGACCTTGCAAGACCCCCGACTCACACATACACCCTGCTGGAACAGCCTCCCCTCGGAAGTTGTGGGAGCGCCATCCCTTGAGACCTTTAAGAAGAGAATTGGACGGCCATTTGTCAGGAATGGTGTCGGGCAGGGGTTTCCAACCTTTAAGCCTGGAGGACTTCAACTCCCAGAATTCCTCAGGCAGCAAAGCTGGCTGGGGAATTCTGGGAGTTGAAGTCCACAAGTGTTCAAAGTTGCCAAGGTTGGAGACCCCTGGTGTAGGGTTCTCCCCCTTGAGGGGGGGGGGAGTTGGACTAGATGACCTACAAGATCCCTTCCAACTCTGATGATCTGTTCTCTGCTCCAACCGCCGCAAGGACCCGCCGGGCTTTCCACGGAAAATAGCGTCCTCCCGGGGTTGCGCACCGGCCGCTCGCTCTCCCCGCGCCCGCCGGGTTCGGACAAGAGCGCCGGGGTTGCGGGGGATGCTGGTGGAAAGGAAGCCGGGAAGCGGCCGCCCCTCCGGCAGCCCAAAGGGCGCCGGGAACAGCTGGAGGGGACCCGGCACGCAGGCCGCCCGCCTTCCTTCCCCGCGGCGCTTGGATCCGCCTGCGCGCCAACCTCCTTCCCTTTTCGCCTTCCCTTTCTTTCTCCCCCGCTTTCCAGCCGAAAAAAGGCCGCTTTTGACGTGGCTCCGATGGAGGGTTCCGTCCTGGAAAAAAGCCCCGAACATCCCGCAAAGATCCGCCGGGGGCGGCGGGGAGATTTACAGCTGCCGGGATTTGGCTGCGCCTGCAGTCAAGTTTTGAGGCTTTCCCTTTTTTTTTTCCTTGCGAGTTTCCTCCCCCCCCCCCCCCCAAATAAATGTATATACTTATACCTATTATCTTGTAAGCCATTGACAAATCGAAAGAAAGAAAGAAAGAAAGAAAGAAAGAAAGAAAGAAAGAAAGAA